TTGTTTTTAAAGAAAATTTTTATATAATATATATATATATATATATATATATATATATATATATATATATATATAATCTCCTTCTATTGAGGGACACCATTTAGGGTCCTCTACGAAAAAAAATTCAACAATCCAAACTATCTATTTTTTAATTCTACATTAATAGATCATCCTTGCAAAAAATTAGACAAATTGAAAACCGTTTCGACATCCAATTGTGTCATATAGAATTAATGAACACTATGCTTCAAGAAAGTAACTCAATTGAGTGGTCAAATGATATCGGATTCAAGTGATTTTTTGTAGGGATGACCTTTGAATGGTTATCTAAAAAATAGATGGTTTGGATTAATGAAATACAATGCAGAGTGGGCCCTACAAGAGTGTCCCTGAAATAAGTATTTGAGGGATCCCTCAATGGAAGCTCTCTATATATAGATACTGTCCCATTCTATTGAGGAACAACCTTTAGGGTCCCCTATGAATTTTTTTTCAATGATCCAAACCATCTATTTGTTAAGTCTATATTCATTGATCATCCTTGCAAAAAATTAGACAAATCAGAAACCGTTTCAACATCCAAATGTGTTCTACAAAATCAATGAACACGGTGTTTCAAGAAAGTACTAAAATTTCAATAACTCAATTGAGTGATCAAATGATATCAGATTCAAGTGATTTTTTTTAGAGATAATCTTTGAATGATTATCTAAAGATAAATTGTTTAGATTAGTGAAATACAATGCAGAGTGGGCCTTACAACAGTGTCTCTCAAATAAGTTTATTTGAGGGATCCCTTAATAGAAGCTCTCGGTATACATACTTAAATGAATTCTTGAATTCTTGTTCAGATGTTTCTGTAACTTTTTAAACTTATAGATTTCAAATTCTATTTGGTCGATCATTTGAGAGTAGTGGTTTGTAAGATAGCCTCTCTTGTTATTAAATGGACATGTTTCCCTCATGTAAGGATTTTGAACTTTAGGGGTTGCTTTTGTCACTCTTTAAAAGACATATCATATGTAACGCTTGTTAAGAACAATCCTAATTGTAGACCAAAATCAATGAATAATTAATATTTTGTGGTGCGCATACACAACATGCAGATGGACGTGAGCTGCTACCGAAGAAGACCAAAAGAACCAAAGCTTCTGTTTCCCATGATCATTGAGATTCTGAGCTGGCTACCGGTGGAGTCATTGCTCAGATTCAAATCTGTCAACAAAAACTGGTCTTCGTCGATGGAAGAATACAGCTTCATTTCAAAGCATATGAATCGGACAAGACCTGTACGACTAAAATATCGATTGACAAAGCAACCTGGCTGCATAGACCTTGGGTCCGAGGAAAATTACGAGTGCAAGTTCACTGTTGCTGGCTTGGTTCTAGAGAAGCATTCTTCCAGCCAAGCTTGCCGCATCAGAAATCCAGCCACCCACCAAGTGCTTTACTTGCCTGATGCCCATGTTGGTGTCAACCTAATGGTATCCACTTTTAATTCATCGACTGGTGAGGTCAAATTGTTAACTTCCTACCGTGAAAACAATGAGGTTGGGTTTGAAGTTTTGACAGTTGGCAAAGATGAGAATTGGAGACCTTTGAAACACCCTAATCAGGGTTTGTCAAATAAACAGGCCAAAATAAGACAGTTTCTTCTAGCTGATAAGGCTGATGCTAGGGTTTGCTGTTGCGCTGAAACCCTAACTGATGGAGAAGACATGTACCTAGAAGTTCACTGTCTTGATCTCTGGAGTGAGACATTCATGACAGCCACTCTGCCCAGGGGAGTTTTTTCTGATTTGAGCAAAGCTCGGGTTATCAGTTGGAACCAAAGTATAGCTGTGGTTGATATAATTGATGAAGCTCTTCATGCCTTGGTGTTAGAAGACTTCAAGGAGCAAAAATGGAGCCGATACAAGAACATTGTTCCAGTGAAGTTTTTGAAGCAAACCCAATTTCCGGAAGGTGGATCTATTGTTCCTTCCAGTGTTGATTCTGATGAGCTCAGGTTCGTTTATAATAATGGGGAGATAGTTCTTATGTACGATATGAAAACGCACAAAGTTAAGAGTTTCATACGTCGAAGGTTTGATGGGGAAGGTTGGGGAAATCATAGGCCAAGCCTGATGAGTTTCAAGGGAATGAGGCCAGAAGAGGAGGGTGCAAGTACAAGTACAACCCAAGAATGAAGATTATAATCAGAGCAATTATAGTTTCATTGATCAGCATTTTAATTTTTCTAAAGCTAGCTAAGCTAGTACTTATCTTAAAGAAATGTTTTTATGTTAGTTTACTTGAACCACATATTTGATTCGGTTTGTCATGTGGAAACTCCTCGAACTATATAATGAGTTATGAGTTCATCATCATTTATCTATTACGAAAACTCTTATTGAACAAATTTGAGTGTATGACTTTTTAGTTGTTGGAACATTGAATGAAGAAGCCAATGTTTACTTTGTTTTTTTTATAAGTGATAGTCTAAACTACTCTGATTTACATGAAAAGAGACTCGAATTTGGATGCAACGGCATACTATCCTAGTCAACTGACTTAACCCACGTTTGCAGTACGAGAAAAACTATTAAACTAAGAGCTAATTGATTATTCAAACTTATTTTGATTGTCGACTCAACTCAATATTGATCCCTGTCTATAAAGAACAACCAATTTCACCCAATACATCAACCAAAGCAGTAGATAAAGAGGAACTCTATCGCAACCCCCAAATCGCTGATGACACCGACCCTCAGCAATTTTGTTATCTCAAAAACCCTATTCTACCCTTAGATAAAATTTTAAAATAGGGGTGGTAACGTAATTTGGCATTCTTATTTCAAAAACCAAATCAAAGACCGCTGCTTTACCAACATTCAAACCCTTGCAACGGTCGATTGGTCTCCTTTCTCTCGATCTCTGAAGATCAGAACCCGAAAAGAGCAAAAGATTACAGAACGATGGCGTCTTTCAAGGTAAGCTTTTAGGAACATATCTAAGAAATGCTTTTTTTTTTCCGTCTAATTCTTGAAAGTCGAATTTATTGACGAATGAATTAGGGATGTGCTTTGAATTCTTGCTCCGTACAAGTATGGCATTTTCTTGAAAAAGAACTAGGGTTTAGGTATCGGAATTTTAGGATTTCTTTTCTGGCAGTTGTTTTCTTGTGAAAATTTAGCTTGAATTGAACGAAAGTCTCGGTCTTTCTAGAAATTGGATCATCGACGGAGCAATTTGACACATCAAGCGAGAAACAAAATGGTGGCTGCTAAGGTCAGCAAATCCTGAGATTCAATTATCGGTTTACTTTCTTTGCTTTCTCTCTCTTTTTTGCCTTTTGGACGAACGCAATTCTGACATCTATGAACCTCCGATTGGTCTTATAAATTTTTCAGCCAAAATTCAGCATAGGACCGAATGGAGTCGGCAAAGAAAACTTAACACGCACAAGTGGTGCGAAAAATCAACTCTTACTTCTTCTACTGATTTCAAGTTCGTGTGGTGGTGATTTATTAACTGATTTCATTATTTTTTCAATTTCTTAAACAGTTGGTGTTACAAGTTTTAAGGTTTATTCAGAAAGTGAAACTACCAACGCTGAAGCTAATAGCAGGTAATTTCGGTTCTAAATTTTGAAATTTCACTACAAGAATATAATATTATGGTTTTAATCGACGTCTAAGTTGTTGTGGAATGTTATGGTTTTCTTTCTTCGTCTAATGTATGCTTTTCTTGGGATTAAAAAAAAGAAAGAAATAAAAAATTTCCTTGCAACTAAAATCAGCTAAGCCTTCATTCCAGAATTTAAATCTTAAGGATTTTTTTTATTTGTATATAAACCACAAAGTATTAGATTTTAGCCATAAAATCTGCCCACTTCTTCTAAGTTCTTGGCAACCATTAGATTGCAAGGGGAATTATTTCGGTTTTTCCCTTTTAATTTCAGGAGTTATGTACCAGTTAACAAAGCATCTACCCTGGAGAACACAATTGCTATAAAGGTAATTGATCATCTCCTCAGTCATCTGCTTGTTTTGTGGTGGATTGAGATGGAGTGTAACTTATTGTGATAAACTGTGCTTTTTAATTAAATTTTAATGTTTTCTATGTGTAAATTGTTTTGTTATCAAGGCTGGTTTGAAAAGTATGGACAAGAGAAAAGGCATACTTGGTAGTTCTACAGGTAAGGTTTAACCAGACTGTATTTGTGATGCAAAGTTGGGTTACATGTCTTAAAACAGTTCCTTTTTCAAATTGGTTCTGTCCTTTTCTTAGCAAATGCAAATCTCGGGAGAAGAGCATTGGCCGATGTCAGCAATATGAAAAGCAATTCTTCTAGGATAGCAGAGGGTGATGCCTCTAAGAAAATGTTGGTACTTTTTTATTTTCTCAAATAGTTCCTTCAGTTTGGATTTTGAGCTAGAAGTTCTAAAGTTTGAGCTATGTTCAATGCAGGAATGGTAAAAGTGAGAGAAAGAAATCTTTGCAACGGTATGCATTTTGACTTTATGGTCATCATCATTATTGCTCCTTTTTTTCATATATAGTGCATACAGATTGATATGGATATAGATACTAGCAAATATGTGAGTATTTTTGAGATCCTTGGCTTTTGCTTGAATGCAGCACTGTTTTCTTTTGTATCTTTCTAGGGTTTCCGTGGGTACGGGCATTAAGACCGTGAGTATATCATCAAGGAGATCCTTCCTGGTAAGAATGTTAAAGTTATAGCTCTCTTATTTCCATGATTGTGTAGTGTGCTGTCTTGTTTTACATAGATGTTTTCTCCATAATTTGGGAAAAGGACAAAAAAAAAACAAAACAAAACAAAACAAATAAGAAAGCACTTCAATTTATTTTACATATAATTTTACCCCCAATCTAGGCAACAGCTGCAAAACTTAAACTGCTTTTCCTATCCATGTTTTGCCTCTGAGAGTCAAGTTTGTGTTTGCCACTGTCCCTTTGTATGTTTGACAGCATAAAGACAGCTCTTATTTTTTCCCCAGAAAAACTTAGCAAGTATCAACACTAATCATTTTCATATATTGTTATTTGGTCATCCACTTTTAACTAATGAATTTTTTCTTACTTGCATTAGGGAAAAGGGCAGGAAAGCCCTAGCCAAGGTGTATCTAGGTTGCAGACTTCAAAGAGAGGTGACTTTAATACTTCTGAAGTGCTATTATAGTTTCCCTGATTGAGCGCTGTTTGAAAATTTTCCATTATGGATAACTGTAGCTATTAAAGACTTGAAGGCCCCTTCAGACAACCAAAGGACCAAGGCTATGGGTCTCGGCCATGAATCTATTGCTGCAGATGGCAGGTCTGACCAAACTTTGTTTTTCCACTCTTTATTAGAAATCAGAAATTGTGCTGCAATTTTATTTCTTTGTTGTGCCTTTGAAATTTTTTTATTTGGCCCATATTCTTTTGAAACTGAATTTTTAAAGACTCTTAATTAGATCTTCTTTTCTTTTCGTATGTCAGGAGGACTTCAAGGAATACACTTAAACTGATAAGGTCTCTGATGTGCAAAACATGTTTGTTTATGTACTGTGAATAAGTTGTGTATCTGTTATTGATGTAATTTCCTATTCCCCTTTCTCCATTTTAAAGGAAGTCTTTGTCGGTGTTAAAGGTCAACCCAGAAGAAACAAGTATTCCAAAGGTTGCTGTTATACATTTTATATACGTTCTTTGGTTGAGCTTTTCTAACTGGACTATGATTTCTAAGTTGGACATTTATGTTTTTTGCTTTCCTACTTGTAGGAAAATGCTGGAAGTTCTGAAAATGCCGAAGAAAAGAGTGGGTATTATGGTAAGATGCCTTTACTTATTTAAGATTTGATAAGTTCATGTCTAAGGATCTCTGACCAAATGGCATTGTGGAATACAGTTAGGGCTAAAGTTGGCAAGACGGTAGTACCCAGAGTAAGCAATAATGCTAGGAGCCATCTGTTGCGGAATCGAGTGAGTGATGGCTTTATGAATATGTGAGTCACAATGATCCATAAAACTAGCATTTTTCTTCCTCTTAAATACCGTTAAAAGGTTTTGCTGATAATTGTGGCATATCATGTTAACTTCATTTTGCTTCTGAATGAATGAAATGGCAGTATCTTACATTTATGGATAGTGGGATTATTTTTTATGGTATAGGCCATGTCTAATATGTCAATGTCAAGATGCACTTAGAACTATAAGGGAGTACAGGAAAAAACTTGTATTCTGTATTCATCCCAATTCTATGAATCTTGTGGTTTCTCCCACTTATTTTTATACCTTTCCTTTCTGGAAAAAGAAAGTTTACTCTAGTGCTTGTTACATGGTGTCTAAGAATCGATTTCATAACATTAAGGGAGTACCGGAAAAAACTTGTATTCTGTATTCATCCCAATTCTATGAATCTTGTGGTTTCTCCCACTTATTTTTAAACCTTTCCTTTTTCTTTGGTCTGGAAAAAGAAAGTTTACTCTAGTGCTTGTTACATGGTGTCTAAGAATCGATTTCATAACATTAAGGGAGTACAGGAAAAAACTTGTATTCTGTATTCATCCCAATTCTATGAATCTTGTGGTTTCTCCCACTTATTTTTAAACCTTTCCTTTTTCTTTGGTCGGGAAAAAGAAAGTTTACTCTAGTGCTTGTTACATGGTGTCTAAGAATCGATTTCATAACATTACATGTTAATATAATTTTTCATTCTTGAAAGTCATAGCACACATAGATTAAGAACGGATTCTTTGGCATGTGATGGTATCTCACTTGTTATGCCTGGTGAGTTCCCTCTTGGGTTTCTCCAACCTTTCAGCAAAAAAGGAGCTGAAAATGTTATATGGAGAGCTGGGGGTTTTCATTTTGGCCTTCAAAGGGAGCAAGGGTAGTGAGAGACTTGAGGGGCTCCTGTAATCACTTTATTTTTTCTTTCACTATTATTGTTTGAATTACTACTTTGGTTAACTTTTTAATTCGTTCAATGTATTTATGTTGCATTATCTTTTAATATATCATATCTTAATTAAACAAGGTTGAGATTCCTATCTATTAATAGTTTTCTTGTGATCTGAGATTGCAGGGGTCAATCTAATTCAAATACTCGTGCGTTGCCGAGAATTTCTGTGAGAGTAAGTACAACAAGAATTCTTGCCCCCCCCCGCTCTCCTTTCCACGAACACACACAAAATTACTTTGTCATTTTGTTTGACCAGTTTTTATATTAGTTGCTCAAGTTTATCTATTTCAATAGTATAACAACTTCAATTGTGTTGACATGTTTTCTTTTCAATGATTAAACAATCGGTCAGTAGAATTTTATTATTGTTGAATGCAATAAGAATATTTGTATTTCAACATATAGTGAAAATTTTATAATCGATGACTACTTTGTGCTAAATATGAGTATTTGCAATGCCTATAAGTCAAAACAAATTGGTTATAACTTTGTCTGCTTTGATTGGTTTACGTCATTTAGTTCCTTAACACTGTTAAATCAAGTTATTGCTTAAGCCACATCGATTATTTTTGCATCAACTAGAAGCTTAATGACAGTGCATTCATTTAATCACTTTACCTGAGTGATTGCTTTTCGTAATTTATTGTAAGCCTCCATTGTTCCATCACCACTTCTAAGTTTTGAATTCAAAGTATTCAGTATTCTATATGTTGTTTTGTAGATATCCATAAATATCAGAGTACTGAATCATCCTGACTTTGTTTCTTGGCATGTTATATCTAGATGAAATCAATATCATATGTTTATTTATGTTCCTTTAATTTTATTGTCATCCAGCCAATTCTGAAGTCCACACTGAACACTTCTGAATCCCAAAGGACTTTGAAATCGAAGTGTGAATCAGGTCCAAAAAAATTGGTTTCTGCTACTGCAACTTCATCCAAAACTGAAAAAGTGGTTACATCTTTTCTTCCTGAGAATGTTAAGCATGATTCCACTCAAGGAGAGCTTCCATCTGATGGCAAATGCAGCCATAGTGCTTCAAGTATCATCTCCAGGAGAAATTCAAATAGGAGGCGATCTTACACATCTCTGTTGATGACTGGATCAAAGGTTGGGGCTTACCGTATTCCAATACTACTGCCTTTATTATTTCTTTGTGGACTTTAATCACACTTGAACCCATTTGCAGTTACTAGAGGAACGTGATGAAGCTATGAAACAAGAAGAACTGACAAGTATTGATGATGATTGCAATCAACTGGAAGTTTCTGATTATGTTGATGAGATCTATCAGTATTACTGGGTTTCTGAGGTAATGGTCATGATGTCTCTCTAATACCATTGTTTTCATTTTAGTCTAGTAAGGATAGTGGGCGTCAAAATGTTCTTCATACTTTCAGAGTGTTCAAATCCTCTACATGTCTGCACACACAGCAATAAATGTATATTTATCTCCCATATGATAAATTGGATTCACATCATGCTGGCCTTCAGTGCCATTGTCCTGAGGTCTTTTGGGTTCACGTCATAAGTTTTTTTATGTTTCTTCATTTTTCTTGCATGATTCTCTTACGGGTTCCAAGACCATATTTTGTGTAGTTCAAATTCTGACCTGTTGCCACTTTCTTCCTCTTCCCTCCTGTAGTCATACTACCTGTAGTTCTTATTCTGACTTGTTGAATGTGTTTAACTGCAGGCACAGAATCCACCTCTGGAAAATTTCATGTTGATTCAGGCAGACATTACTCCTCATATGCGAGGCATATTGGTCAATTGGTTAATTGAAGTACTTTTTTTTACCTTTTTTATGCACTCTGATGCTCTTTTTTTCTTCTTCTCATCTTGTTGGTTCATTTTTGCATTTCCTTGTGTTTAATAGTTGGCTATCCCCTTGCTTTTGCTATGCTAATTTGTTTGTCGATATGGGAACAGGTACACTTCAAATTTGAATTGATGCAAGAAACACTTTATCTCATGGTCACATTGTTGGACCAGTATCTTTCTCAAGTCACAATCAAGAAGGATGAAATGCAGTTAGTTGGTCTCACTGCACTCTTGCTGGCATCAAAATACGAGGATTTTTGGCATCCTAGGGTAAATATCAATATCTCAACTTCCGTGCATTTTTCATGATTTGCTTTCTTATGCTCTACAAAAAAAAAATGCAGGTCAAAGAACTAATTAGCATCTCAGCTGAGTCATACACAAGAGACCAGGTCCTCGGAATGGTATGTGTTCTTTTATTTGTCAGATTATTTGGGTATATCTGATTATTTTTGGGTATGCGTCTTTTTATTGCTGTATTCTATAGGTTTCTATTCTTCCAGTCCTAACAATAAACTCTGGCTTTGCTTTTCAGGAGAAACTCATGCTTAAAAAGTTGAAGTTTCGTCTTAATGCACCTACTCCATATGTTTTCATGTTAAGGTTTCTCAAGGCTGCTCAGTCAGAACCAAAGGTATTTAATAATTTCTAAGGCTAAGAAACAGAAAATTTGATTAACGATTAACTCCATAACTACAAGTGTTTCTGTGTGTGAGTTGTAGATGAATGAAAAAAATTCAAATAAGAAAGAGACAGATTGCATACCACAGTTTAGTAGATAACTATAGAATCACCTTTGATTGAATCTTTAGCTTTGCTAATTACTTTGTGGACATTGCTGCAGCTTGAACACCTAGCGTTCTACCTTATCGAGTTGTGTTTAGTTGAATATGAAGCTTCAAGGTTCAAGCCCTCATTGCTGTGTGCAGCAGCCCTTTATGTCGCAAGGTGCACCCTGCAGATAACTCCGGCTTGGACCCCACTGCTCTGCAAACATGCTCGCTATGACGTGTCCCAAATCAGGCACTGCTTCTTTAGAAAATAAGCAAATAAATTCATGTCCTTATGTAGTGATTGCATCATAATGAATGTTAACGATCGATATTTGATCATTGCAGAGACTGTGCGGAGATGATCTTAAAAGTCCAAAAAGTTGCTAGAGTGGGACGGTTGAAGGTCACGTATGAGAAGTACATGAGGCCTGATCTCAGTGGTGTTGCAGCAATAAAACCCTTGGAAAGACTTCCCCTCTGATTCAGCTCACATGGGAAGATAAGAATGTTAACGATCGGAGAGATAAGACTTTCTGGTTTCATTCAAATCTTCTGCTCAAGACTGACTTCAGCAAGTATGGGAGATGCTTTCCTCCGATGTTGTTGAAGCCTGTCAGGATATAACTCTGCTTGTATATCTTACTGATCTAACACAATGAAGGGCATCCGTCAAGCTTGTTAAAGAAGCCTTGTTTTGTAGTGCTCCTACTGGTGATGTCAACACTTTAGGGCTTCTGGGATTGAGATGTCTGTTCACATCTGTATGTTCTGAGATGATATTAGTCTACACCCTAGTGTGTAACAACTATTGTTGTTGCTAAGAAAATATGATCTTGGAACTGAAACACATATTGTTGTTGTAACAACTATTGCTATATGAATTTCTAGCTTCCTGTTAACGGTACATATTGCCTTGATCAATCATTTTCCCCCTTTATCTTTTGATAAATCTAAACTAGAGTCTTATGAACCTTTTACAGAGTCTGATTTAGATGACATGCTTGTTTATGAAGCAAACAATTTGCACGTGAGCCTTAACTCAATTGGCATGGGTAAGGGTGGATTGTAGATTCAATTCCCCTTGTAACCAAAAGAAAAATCAAACCACCACATGGATCTTCTCTGGGGGGAAAACCTGGACATAACAGAACTGATTTCCGACTCAAACAAGGTTTATCAGCTCTGAAATGCAGAGAATTGACCTGTCCAAGAAGCAACCTCGTTACACAGCAGTTTGTCAACATGGCCACTGAAAGTGGCTCTACAAATCATTTGTTACTACCTACCCAAAAGGCCAGCACGAGTCAAAGACCATCTTTACATGAAAAATCACCATTGTTGGTCCAGTTGCCTTTAGAAGTACTAACCACTCAGAAAACACTTGATCAAGTATTACTCTACTACGAACGGAACGGCACACGGCAGACATATAGAGGTTCAACCAACAAGTAGCAAAGACATCAGGCACCAAATGCAAGGTAGGCATGAAGTAAAGAAGGGAAACAAAGGTGACAAAGTAAAGATGGCATTGAGGCTTTGGACTATGAAAATAAAATCTTGGAAGCAAATCTGAACAGAATGGGTGCTGGAATTCTTAGATAGGTCTGTAGTATAATTGCTGGTTATTACAACAAGTAAAAGAAATTCGTTTTACTACCATTCATTAAATAATAGTTTTTGTAACAAATACATGGTCAATTTATTCTTTTGTATATTGACCAAAAATATACAATTTATTCTATGTTTACAACAAGTAAAAAGTGGTCCGTTTAGCCAAACAGTAGTCTTGTTAACACATACACGATCAATAATTGACACCAAATATAGTGTTTCTTATGAAGTTTAGTAGCACTAGATGCACCAGGTGTGAAGTAAATATCTGGCACTCCTGGTTCCCCTGTGTATGACATTTGTGGTATTGCTGGCAGAGTTGAGGGAGGCGGAGTTGGTACCAACGGAGTAAGCAAAGGAGCTGGTGGAGGTGTAGTTGGCAAAGGCAGAGTTGGGCGAGGCCTATTTAGCAAAGGCGGAGGCATAACCTGTAGAGGCGGAGGCGTAGCTGGCAAGGGTGGAGATGACGGAGGCGTAGCTGGCATGGGTGGAGATGACGGAGGCGTAGCTGGCAAGGGCGGAGATTGTGGAGGTGTAGCTGGCAAGGGTGGAAATTGCGGAGGCGTAGCTGGCAAGGGCGGAGACTGCGGAGGCGTGGCCGGTAGGAGCGGACATGGAGGAGGCGTAGCTGGCAGGGGCGGAGGCGTATCTGGCAAGGGTAGAGCTGGCGGAGGAGTAGCTGGCAAAATAAGAGTTAGTGGAGGTGCAGCCGGCACAGGCGGAGATGGCGGAGGCATAACGGGCACAAGCGGAGATGGCGGAGGGATAACGGGCGCAGGCGGAGATGGCGGAGGCATAACGGGCATAAGCGGAGATGGCGGAAGAATAACGGGCGCAGGCGGAGATGGCGGAAGAATAACGGGCACAGGCGGAGATAGCGGAGGCATAACGGGCACAGGGGGAGATGGTGGAGGCATAACGGGCACAGGCGGAGATGGTAGAGGTATAACGGGCACAGGCGGAGATGGCAGAGGCATAACGGGCACAGGCGGAGATGGTAGAGGCATAACGGGCAAAGGCGGAGATGGCAGAGGCATAGCTGGAGGAGGCATAGTTGGCAAAGGCGTAGCTGGCGGAGAAGTAGTTGGTTCAGTCCCTGACTTGAGGCAAGGTACATTGGGCACAATGGTGCCAATGGAAGTTCCAATAGCATTGTTGCAAGAAGCATAAATCTTCTTATCAGGAACCGCCGAGGTGATTTTGATGCGGTCCATTACAATGTTGCGGCAACCTGAATTCTGGTCACAATCTAATTTGATCGCCTCCTCATTCGCAGATGTTCCTTCAAAATCAATGTACTTCACATCTTCCACCAACAGAGCCGAGGCCTGACTTTTACAGTTGTGAGCATGATTACAATAAAACTGGTCAATGATGATGGGATTTTTAGCTGCATGGAGTGTGATCTTCTCAAAGGTTATGTTCCTAGCGTACCCCGATCCGCCCTGCCATGTCTTGATCCTAGCTCCATTTGTAGTCCCACTGAAACTACTATCTCTCACGTACACATTTTTCACTTTCTCAAGAGCCCCATGCGCTCCCAAGCTTCCCACACTGTTTGCAAAAGAGAATTTTAAGTTAATACAATATCATAAACAAACTTTTTCGAATAAGAACTTATGTTAAGGACTACGTACCTAATACCATGACCCGGCCCGCACGCGATGTTGGCAATGTTGAGATCAGAGCAGCCACCGTTGATGGCTATGCAGTCATCGCCGGTTCCGATAGTAGAGTGGTGAATGAAGACGTTGTGTGAGTTTGAGATGTCGATGCCATCAGTGTTTGGACTGTCTTCCGGTGCGGTTATGGTGAGATGAGACACGTACACATTGTTGCACCCGCTTATAGCAATGTGGGCTCTTCCGCTGTTTAGATGAGTAAGTCCGCTTAGTTTAAGATTATCGCATCCATGGAAGTGCAGAGCCTGTAGTAGTAACATTCAAATTAGTAAACCCAACTTCAGTAGAAAAAAATATATAAAAAAAAATTACTTTTAATTAAATTAAATTGAAAAAGAAAAATAATCCATACATCTGGTGCTTTGCAATTCTGGTTATTCATCATGAGTTTGCGTGATAATCTGTCGTATTGGTTGGGAGTGGTCCACCAAGATGAACCCTGACCGTCGATTTCACCTGAACCATCGACTACGAGATTGCCCACATCCTTAAATTGGAGCCAATCTGAATCTGATTCACAGTCGGTCCGTGCATCCAACATTTTAGGTGCCACCAGTTTGCCCATGATCTGCTCACCACACGGAAAGGAAATAATTAATAATTTAATAATTTTTAAATAATTTTTAATTAAGTAAGAATAATCATTTAGTTGAAATAAGATAAGAATAAGGGTTAACTACTCAAACGTGGACTCCAGGTGGGGTGAGGGGATAATCGGATGACTTGATGACATTGAATTGATAATCGTACGGCTGGGGTGAGGGGAGGGTGGGGCCGGGTTGTGTTTTTTACTTTTTTTAAAAAAAATTTGTGTTATTTTATTATTTTACTTGTTAGATTTTAAATTTATGTTAAATTGTACTTTTAATTATCTTTAAAAGATAAAGACTTTTTTTAATAATTTTTTAATCTGTATCAACTAAAAAAATTGAAGCCTATGTTTGTCGTATCATCATTTAACAGACCTATTAACGGTATAACTAATGGAGTGACTAATTTATAAGTTTTTCGTGAGTTTAGATATCTACATGCAAAATTGTTCAAATTGAGTACTAATTTGAAACAACCCCAAAATTCGGTTACTTTTTTGTAGCTAACCCAAATAAGATAAGAATAATAATTTGATAGTTTAGTTACCTGAACATGAACACCATTTGAGTTGCAAGGACCTTGAAATTTGATGGGTTGCAATAAGAATGCTTTCGTCCCAGGTATAACAAGTGTTGGCACGCCATTAGGTTCATATGCTGCTCTACACAACTCTCCCCATGCTTTTAGAAAAGCCTGTATTTGCAAAATGAAGAAACCGTAAGTGATTGCTCCTTTCAACTTTAAGATAATAGAAAACAAATCAAGAAAAATAAAAACGTTCTCTTCTTTTATCGGATATCATGATGGCATGTTAATGTTGTCGAATTATACATCCAAAACTATTGATAACATGAACATGTATTTTGTGTACATATGTGGTTTAAATTCAAAGGTTGACAACATTAACACGTCTAGCTATCTAACAAACGAACATTACTCGAAATACCTTGACACATGCATTAAAAGAAGTAAATTACCTTGGAATCGTCAGTTTTTCCATCTCCAGCAGCACCGTACTTGAGAACATCGAATGTTCTTTGGCCATGTCCAAAACCACTCCAGAATATCAAAATCAAAACAAGTATGTTCTTCATATTATTGGTTACGAAACAATGAAGAAGAAACAAAAGGAAGCTATATATGATAGTAGAGTGTAACATATATATAATATTCTCAGAGGGTTCCTAGTTATAATAAGTTTTTGGTTTCAATTAGGAAATTAGTTTTCCTTTTCTAAATTATGAATGTTGATTTTACCCGCTTTAGCATGGAATATTATTCCCTATGTACATAAGGATTTAAGGATTTAATGCACCAAAACCTTGTAATAGAAGGATTTAATGATGTGGCAAGGATGTTTGAATAATATTCTACACGTGGACAAAAAAAAATTATACAAATTATACAAATATAATAACATAACATAAAATTGAAAAAATTAAAAAGTGGATTAAAAGAAAGAAATAAAAAAAAACTACCCAGCCAACCCCGACTCTCCCCCATCCTCCTCCAGACTTTCATGTCCACCATTCACCAACTCCACAACCTCTCAAACCTTGCTCCCTTCCAACTCTTCCAATTGGTAGCTGAACACAATATGACCCCAACTGTTCCCACCCTTAGGATTTAATGATGTGGTGGTGGTGGTTGTTGTGGTCTTATGTACATGTGGTGATGGAATGAGTTCATCCAGTTGAGTGATGAAGTCCGTCTGCTTCCAGAAGATCATAAAGCAAAAGTTGACAAGCTATATTAGAGGTGAACTTTCAATGATCCTAGTACGTACCAATGTCTTAATTTCTCCATCGTATGATTACAAAGTTGATCAGTGATTGAAAGTGCCTACCTTTGTCATGAAAAACAGGTGAAGAGAATGGCTCCTTTTAGAGTTTCAAGATTCATAGAAACCAACAGCAACTTCAAGTTGAGAATCATGCAACACGAATCATACCTCAATACCTAGTTATGCTTCTCGTCGTGGGAAGTTGAAAGTCACCCAAGCTAGCTGCATTTGAAACTCGGTTTACTGTGAAATTTCTCGGAGGTTGAAACTAGCAAATTAATATTTATAAATAGTATAGCCGTGCGGCGATACACAGGCTTAATATTTTTTCCCAACAAGGTTTCAGCCGTGCGGCTATACTCGTTGTTCCTGTTTAAAAAAAAAATTAGTATAGCTGTGCTGCTTTACTGTTTTGACACGCGGCGCCTTAGCGCAGGTCGGGTCCTTTTTTATATAATATAAATAGTACCGCCCTGCGGCTATACCCGGATTTTTAAATTTGTTTTACAAAAATCGTACAGCCGGCCGGCTATACTCACTTCCAACCTTCCTCAGTAGAGGCGTTTTTGTTATTTTGTTTTAATTTTGAAATATAAAATTAGTTTCTTTACCTTTTTTTTTGGCCAACTTCTTTCATTTAATATATAATAGCTTCTCCCTTTTTCAAAAAAATTTAAAATTTATTTTAGAATTAAAAAAGATAATGGGTAGTTGTATTCCATAAAAATAGGATCCAATATCTGATTTTTATTTTTATTTTAATATTTTTAAATATGAAAAAGTGTGAATTTACCATATTATCCTCATTTAATTAATAATTTCAATTATTAATGTTTGCATTAACTAAGGGCATTTTCTGGTACTTTTAATGTTTCACCATTCTCTGCCTTTTGCTTTATATATATAGATAATTAAGTAATATCTTAGCATTTTTTAATCTTTAATTAGTAATTATGTTTTAATTATTATTTATTTAGTGAATATTTAAATATATTACTGATTTCACAAATGACTTGATAAATAGTATTTTCATTTGGGCGTCCTAATTAAATTTCTCCAGAGCCCAATAGCCCCAAGACCCGAAGCCCAAGTCTTTGATTAATGTAATTATTATTAATGAAAGCCAAATCCAAATCCGAGCCTATAGCCAAGCCCATTAACCCAACTCTCCAATGTTAACCACAATTACTAAACTATTATAGTGCTTTGTTTATAAACAATTTTATAGGAGTGTGGTGGGATTTTCACAAAGGGCACCTCAAAAGATAGGCTTACAAAGAAATCTATATTTTTATTGTTGGTGCAATGTGGAAATATATTTAAAGCCCTTCTAGGTCTCCGTGATGCATCTGTAAATGTCCTTCAAGGTCTTGCATCTATCGACCTTGATATTATTTGGCTTCTTATAGAAGATGTTTACTATTCTCTGAAGAAAAAAGACATACCTTCATCCCCTACAGCAGACATACTTGAAATCTTCCAGATTGAAAAACCAAGAGTTACAAGATTCATAGAAACCAACAACAACTTCAAGTTGAGAATCATGCAACACAAATCATACCTCAATACCTAGCTATGCTACTCATCATCGGCAGTTTAAAGTCACCCAAAGTAGCTACATTTGAAATCCGATCCAACTCTTCTCTTTCTACTCGAAGAAAAGAAGGACTTGCTCGTACTTCAAATATTGCTAGCCCAGTTACTCTCTCATTCTCAAATTTTCTTTCCGCACGATCACTCTCAGATTCTCGATTTTAGCCCAAACTAAAAGGTAAGAAACTTAACTTGAGCTACATATGTAATTATAACAGTTGAATATTAATGATTGGTTCGATTAGATTAGATTTATTGATGATTATTGATATGCATAAATTCTAGTACGTATATGAGTAAAAGTTCCTTGATTTGAGCTACACGTGTTTTTTTCTTTCAATTTTTTAGGTAAGAAGTCTCCTGTCATTTTTGTTTGAATATTGATTCGCTTATATTTGAACTTTGATTTGAGCTATATAAATTACAAATCCATATCCATACATTCAAATAAGCATGATGATGTCCTCATATATATAGTCTCCTTCTATTGAGGGACACCCTTCAAGGTCATTTACGAATTTTTTTTCAACAATCTATACCATCTATTTTTTAAGTCTACATTCATAGATCATCCTTGCAAAAAATTAAATAAATCGGAAACCGTTTCGACATCCAATTGTCATACAAAATCTATTAACACGGTGCTCCAAGAAAGTGCTAAAATCAATTGAGTGGTCAAATGATATCGGATTCAAGTGATTTTTTGTAGAGATGATCTTTGAATGATTATATAAAAATAAACAATTGTTATTTAGTTATATGGGCTTTCTAGGACAATGGGTTGGCTTATCAAATAAATGGGCTAACCTCACTAAGTGTTGGCCTATTTTGTTGAGTTGTTGGGCTAATTTGGTCAAGTTAATGGGCTACTTTTTGTTGGGCTTTTTGATTGGGATATTTTCTCTCTTGTGCTTACCCACATGTTTGGGCCTAAAAATGGGCTTGAGTTCCGAGACTCCCAAGCAACACGGAACTTCCATTTCTCGGCCCATCAATGGGCCTCATGACAACTTATTACCATCTATACCAGTGGATCGTCAATGGGCCGGGCTGGGCTAGCCTGTTATTTAGTTATATGGGCTTTCTAGGACAATGGGTTGGCTTATCAAATAAATGGGCTAACCTCACTAAGTGTTGGCCTATTTTGTTGAGTTGTTGGGCTAATTTGGTCAAGTTAATGGGCTACTTTTTGTTGGGCTTTTTGATTGGGATATTTTCTCTCTTGTGCTTACCCACATGTTTGGGCCTAAAAATGGGCTTGAGTTCCGAGATTCCCAAGCAACACGGAACTTCCATTTCTCGGCCCATCAATGGGCCTCATGACAACTTATTACCATCTATACCACAACCCACTCAAGCAAGCCCCGGACATTTGCGTGGCTTGGGCCCACTTAAGCTTATAGCATGGCTAGGTGTAATAATAATGATTCGCTTGGCATTGCATGTCGCTTGGCATTTTGTCACTTTTAAAAGGGATATGATATTCGACAGGATAATTAGCATGAGCTTACAAAGCCAGTGCATTTTATAGGCTTTAGCGTGGCGGATTACATATTTATTTGGCATGATAGCTAATTTCAGTCTATTAGTTCATAGCGAAGCGAAGCTGGGCTAGAGGGACACATACACTGTATGTAGGGCTTATACACACCTTTAGTAGTTCCCTCCAAAACCCCCGTCTTCTGCCTACCAATGGGAGAGAGAGCTTGTTGGACGGATAGAGTGAATGCGGGAATGGCATAGAGGAATGGGAACGTTGACTGTGGCTTATATATGACGGGCATTCGTGTACTCTGACATGTGACTTTTCTTCATAAAATACCGTATTGGGCTGGAAATTCGTTTGGGCCTAACCATGGACTTTTTTGGGCCTCAACAAAGGGCACACGGCAGACGTATAGAGGTTCAACCAACAAGTAACAAAGACATCAGGCAAAAAAGAGTCAAAATGCTAGGTAGGCATGATGAAGTAAAGAAGGGGTAGGTGATTAAGTAAAGATGGCATTGAGGCTTTGGACTATGAAAAGCAAATTTGGAAGAGATACAGGAAATTAGAGACCCTAACTTACATAGAAGAACAGAAGGGAACATTTTTGGAGAAACATAACTATGAGCAAATGAGGAATCATGTAGGGCTGGAACAAGGTCCATGACATAACATGTAGGGCTAGAACAAACCAAATGCTTGAGATTAGTAGTGACAAGAAACGAATGGTAATAGCAACCGGACCAAACGAGATAGATGAGGAATCATGTAAGACAGCATCTATTTTACAACTCAGCAACAGTAGAAGAAGGCAACCTCTAAGAAAATTCAACCTGTAATGCAGCATTATAAATTAAGAAGATAATTTATTAAATGAAACAAGATTTCGTATATATTATCCTGACCTGTATAAGCTCACAAAATGTACCCTAGCTTCTTTGCCTCCACCACCACAAGAAGTAAATTGAACTCTTCAGGATCTCCCTATGTATATACAACCTTGTTCTTCAACAAAAACCATTATCTGCTATCTACCAATATATAATACAAAATGTAATGCACAACACATATACGTTACATATTCTACTGTATAGATTCATATCTGAAGCAGCTCATTAGCTAACCAAACCATCTTGTGGAAGCAAGAAACTATCTCGATCCAAAGTCCCCCTCACTGCTCGATAAAACTCCAACCATGAAGACGAGTACACATCCGCAGGACCCCACAAAAACGTCAGGTTAGGACTAGCAGGGCATGCTGCCACTAAATCTAACACTGATGCAGCTGGTTTGAGCTTCTGTGGGAAATTAAATGCCAAGTTATCGACTTTGTGTTCATATATTTTGCCTTTTCGATCTAGTTTATATCGCGAGGTGCCCTGAAATTGACCCTGTGCTTCCCATGGAACCCGAGGAACACCCTTCATGTTCCATCTTATCAATATCACATTCTCTGAAGGCTGCCAAATCCTATAAACCTCAAGTGAAATGTCACGGAACAGAATCTTGCCATGAAATCTCAAAGCCCAGAAGATCAATTTGTAATTCTCAATGCCAGTGAATGTGTTCAAGGGATCCGTAAATGTTATATCATCCCTGAAAATCACCAAATTTCACAAATGAATCCTATCAAATGTAACACTAAATTTTCAATAAAGGGTTTAACAATTACAGGAAACTCATCAAATTTCATCGAAGATTACAATCAATTTGCAATTTTTCTTTTTGGGAAAACGTGTTAAATTGGTATAACTCTTGAGTACCATGTATTTCCTAAAAATATCACATTTCTTAATGAAGTTTTAAACTTTCTGATAAACCAAGCACTATGAAAGAAAATTCAAGATACCCAAATGAGAAAATTACCTATAAATGTCATAATTAAGGTCTTTGGCGAAAATTAAAGGGATGTCTTCACGAAGAGTGCGTACAGCAACGCCAAGATTGACATAAAAGTCGTCTCTTTGCTGCTTATCCTGCGCAACCCTGGAGGTGTTAAGCTGTGCCCCCTCCAACAAAGTGGGTGTCTGCAGGCTGGCCAGAGGAGAGAGATGAGAGAAACAAAAGCTGGGTTTTGTCAGAGAAAGTGTCTGGTTCATGGGTTTTTCTTTTGATTTGGTTTGGAGGGGTAGAGAGGGAGAGAAATTTGGTAGAAGAAAAGCCATTGCCTTCTTTGTTATCCTTCGATTTGGAGTCTCAGTTTCAGCTTCTCATGTGCAAAGCTCTAGAGATAGAAAGAGAAGGATGGTTTTGTGTTCTGCGTGTTGTGCTTGGTGTTTTGTGTGTTGTGTGTATTGCTGGTTGGAACAGAATGAGCATTTGATTTTGGCGTTGATATATGAGTGGTTTTGAACATGGCCATGAATACGTCTTTTGTTCTGATTGGAAAGTGCTTGAAAGTGGACCAGGTGAAAAACCCAAAACTTGTGGCTCTTGCACTCTTTCCCCCCCTCGACTTTGGTGTATTTCTTTGACATCAAAGACGTGCAAAAATATCTTCTTGCTATGGAGCCCCTTTGTTCTCCTACAACTACAAGTGCTCTGTTGGCGTCTAAAAACTTGATTTTCAACCTCTTATTACTTTTCAACTTTCAATTGTATCCTTATTCATTCAACTTGGGAAAATGAAACCCTGAACTCTAAACTTCTCTAACTGATCCCTTTTGATAAATATTTTAAGTTTGAAGAAATGAGTATTTTCCACAAGGAGATTGTTGCACGTTTCATTCTTGAATATTCAATTCAAACCCATACTAGTATCAAGTCGTGGCCAAAATGAGTCATTTCGTCTAAAAAATAAAAGTAAAAATGAAAGTAAATTTTTTCACTACACCCTTTAGTTTAGTAAATTAACTAAAAGAGATCTTCCTTCAAAATCAAAATCTCTCTCTCTCTATCTAAATGTAATTTCTGGTTGGATACTATGATAATGGGAATCGAAGAAGATAATGAAATCTTATCCCAAGACCAAATCTAAGTTGAGTTAGAAGTGTATTATTAAACGGATGTCTATCAAAGTGGGCTCATGCCTAATTGTCTGCCTCAGTTTGATTGGGAATGGACATGGTATGGAAGGGTTAGAACCATTTAGATAAGGCTGCTTTTTTCTAAGAATGACAAAACAATGCAAAAGGTTAAAAACCCTTGCAAAGAATCTTCCATTCAGAAAGCACATTCCTTTCAGGATATACCCGTTTTGTTCCTTCTAATCCAATTTCTCAGTGCCAGTGGGAATAGCGCAGTTGTAGAGCTATTCCATCTCTACTCATATAACAAAGGTTCGAAACTTCCAGACATCCAAGTAAATATTTGTGTAAACCCCCTCTCCCAATCGCTTGTTAATTGTAATTTATTTCTGATTCTTTTGGTGTTTTTACAAATATAGGGGAAATTCATTTTCCCTGAGTTCCTCTTATCATCAAATACTAGCAACCAGATATCATGTTAACAATGAAATGAATTGAGTATTCTACCAAAACCCAAAACGTGAATACTCTTGACAAGTTCACTGAGTGTACTTAATTTGTTGGAAACTCAGTTCAAGATTTTGGGTTTAAATCAAGGTCCACTGGTTTCAATTTCATCATTTAGGAGCAGTTGTTCTGTAAACTTCAACCAATTACCCGTTAATTTCAGAAGAGTGATTGTTCTCTAGGATTTCTAGATCCTGACATGCATGGGTGCTCACCAGTTTGTCCAGCCTGGTCATAAATCAGGGTCTCTGCATTTCTTATGCCTTGTCCAGGTTTGGATGCCAATGGATATGAAATCCTAGTTTTCTTATGACTTAACATATGCAATTTGTTATCCAAGTAATTAGAACTTGATCTTGGAAATCAGATGGTCATTAACACTAAAACTTGCACAATAGAACGGACTGATAGTCTGAACTAAAATATTTGAATGTGGGAACATCTGAATGCATAAACCTTGGAGAACAAAGGAAAATGCCAGAATCTCAACTCCCAAGAATCACTCTTGGCAACGTACAGCACTGAAAACCCTATAGCAATAAGAGCATCAGAGACTCTAATTTGTTGCCTTATATGACCTCCCGCCTAGCGCCGCCTAGGCGGCTAGGCGCCGATTTGTCTAACACTTTAAGCAGTGAATTGAAAATTGGAAATTGGATCTATAACTTTGAATGTAGGAACATCTGAATGCAAAAACCTTAGAGAAAAAAAGGCAAATGTCAGAATCTCAACTCCCAAGAATCTCTCTTGGCAACGTACAGCACTGAAAACCCTATAGCAATAAGAGCATCAGAGACTCTAATTTGTTGCCGCCTAGCACCGCCTAGGCGCCGATTTGTCTAACACTTTAAGCAGTGAATTGAAAATTGGAAGCTGGATCTACAACTTTGAATGTAGGAACATCTGAATGCATAAACCTTAAGAAAAGAAAGGCAAATGCCAGAATCTCAGTTCCCAGAATCCCTATTGGCAACGTACAGCACTAATAACGCTATGGAAATAAGCGAATCAGAGACTCTAATTTGTTGCCTTTTTAATAGCAAATCCAACAAACCCAACACAAATCCATTGCTTGTTCATTCATCTAATCCCTTCAACAAAAACACCCATCTAAAAAAGATAACAACTTTACCCAAAATCAACACAAAATTTTCATCAATGAAAATAAGAAGGCTCAGAGTGTAAAGTTAAGTTGGCATCAACAAGCCCCAAAAAGAGAGCTTTCATAGTTTGATGGTATACAGATTTAGTCATCACTGCCTCTTCTATACACCGGAAATTACAAGAAAATAAAAACAGAGGAAAACAGAAAATTTCAGGAAGAGGCCTCAGAAGCTAGTGATAGAAACATCAAAGAGAATCTCAGATGGTACGGACAATATCAAAACATCACAGGCCAAATTTTATCAAACAGAACAAACACACAAAACAATTGTAAGGGTAGCAGAGGGGGGATGGAAGACGGAGAGGCTGAGACCTACGCTTAGCTGAGGAAACTTGCTTGGTTTGAAGCGAGGTCTTGAGGTGTGTTTAAATAGTAGGGAGAAAAAACCATCAAAACCCTAGTAGTGTTAAATTACCATGATATCCTTGGTTGGAATGGTTGGGCTGGAGGGCAGTACCACTTGGAATTGGGTTAAGGAACTTTTAGCCCATTTGAGAAATCAGAGGCCCAATTCTTGTTTTAAGTAAAATTACTGCAACCCACATTAATCCAGCTTCATATTTGTCATTTAAGTAGGGATTACTGACCTTACTATTGGTTTATTGATATTATCTCCACAAATTTTTTGAGTCTCGTTGTCGTGCAACTAACTCAATTGGTTTAGAGCATTTATCTTGAACATCAAAGTGTCTTGAAGAATTAGCCCAACCATCATGGGCGATTTTCTTTTTCTTTTCAGATGGTTGAATTAAGAGAATGAAAATATAGCATATTTTAGTTACTTGACCAATTGGCCCTTGTTTTTGGTTCTCATGTTCCTAGCAACTCTTTGGACATGACAGTGTTGTGAGTTGTTGCCTTGTGTATGGTAGGAGATGATTTGCTTGAGAAACAATGAAGAGGTTGAATGACTTCCTGTGCAGATAAGTGAATCAAGTTTCCCTCTTCCTGCGCATGCAGCTGTTTGTTTAGACATTTGAATTAGGTCCGGTCTTTTTTATGATCGGTTGCAAAATTTATTTGGGAAGATTAGCATAATTGGACTTAGTAGAACCCTATTGTATGTGGCTCATCACTTAACATACACAAGCACAACGAAGAACAAAAGTGTAGGTTGCTTCATCAGATAATGTAATCGGTTCCAAGACTAACAGTTGAGGAACTAAAACCATAAGAAAGGTAATGCCATAAAGTTATAAAACATTTGGCGCACAAGCAAAGTGATCTTAAAATGAAAGCACAATCAGCAGCTTATTCAAAAACTGTGTGCTCTGGAAAAGCCTGCTTGTAGCTCCACTGCCACCCTCATCATACATTGTTCTTGTGTTCTGGCCTGTGAGAAAACTCAAAATCGATATGCACAAAAGCCCGTTCGACTTCAGGGAGTTGCTCGAGCTTCTCCTGGAGAGTCTCACCAATGTTGTGTGCTTTGTTCAGAAGCATGTCTTCTGGCAAGACAATGTCAACCTCCACAAAGTAATGAGTGCCAAATGTGTATGCTCTCACTGTGTCAATGTGCCTGATCTCTTCATGGTGGTTCCATATCAAATAAGTTAACTTAGCTAAGAAGTCGGGAGGGGCTGTTCTTCCTATTAGCGAATGCACATTCTCCAAAACTGTCTTTGCCCATGTATTAATGGTATATAGTGCTATCTGCAATGTGTTCAAAAATGAAACCAACGTTAATGAATAAACATAATAAATCATATCAGAGGGAGTGAAACTAGTTATGGTGATGAAAGGACTTACAACAATAGCACCAGTAGGATCAATCCACCAAAAAAACCGGACGGCTAAGACTGCTGCTGCTAAACCAACTGAATTAGTAATAACATCGAAAAAATGGTCTTGTGCATAGGCCAGTACAATTTCATTTTTAAATCTGCGACAGTAGACCATGAGAACAAACTTCACTACTGTGACTGAGGCCATGATACCGATCATCCACATCTCTTGGGTAAATTTCATTTTTTCTCCCGGTGACTGCACCCAGAAAATGATAAAACGGATATAGAAACAATATTAATTACAAAACACGCTAAAAATGAGATCCATATAATGAGCCAATATATAGATTGACAAAATTTGGATATGCAGAAATAACGAATTTCAAACAGGATCATGAAATTATGACTTATAGTGAAAATCTAACTCTCTTAATTCCACGAGAAAAAATTTGACCAACATATTTAGATTCTGATTTTCATCATTGATGCTTGGCTGCCAGCATCAAGATATTGCAGGAATCACCAGTGTGTATATAGGTTGAGTTTCTATAGAGGAAAATATTCTCTACACACTTAGTATAAGAACTAAAGTTTAACCGTTGACTGAAAAGAGATGTTATAGCTTAACTAACATACAGTGAAATGTGAGGATGTCATTTAAAATTGTATCACATAATGCAGCAATAAATGAAGAAACCATTCTCAAGTTGAAGTTTAAAATATCATTTCTTCCTTCCTTTGTTGCATACTGGTGTTATTTATTCACCCATACAGGGAAATAATACTATATTAAACTCACTGATTCGGAGTCTGAAACCTGACCAAATTCCTTATTAGTCCAAATTTTTAAGTTGGAGTGGGGAAAAAAAAAAGGGTCACTTGCCTGTGAGATGAGTTCCCGAGCAGACTCGAGCAATATTTGCAGTCCAAGAGTTGCCATTACTGATGCAAAGACAATGATACCCTGTATGATCAAGCATAGTCAGTAGAGAAATACAAAAAAGCGGAACGGCCTAAGAGATAATGACAACCAACTATTTTCAGA